TTAGGTCTATAGTCAAACCCCGTTGTTTCATTGAATACTAGCCTAACACGCTCTAATGCAGCGTTCTATTTTAGTGAGAGTGCTGCTAATTAATACACTAAATGCAGACCTTATTGCTATTTGCTAAAGCACCTTCATTAGAGTCATCCGTTATAGCAGTACATATCGACGACGACTTCGACTCCTTTAAAAACTAAGAATCACCAACTGCAAATCATTATTTCTTAATTTTACAGAAACATAAGTCACCTCGAACTTTTCCAGTCTTTTGAAACTTCGCTTTTTTCGAGTGGATAAGTGTTAACTGAGTTGAGCTCGGCCGTTCTCGCTTCAGTCATCTAAATATCTCAGCTTACATGACTAAAACTCAGTAACAGGTCGCAAACCAGAACCATCAAACGTCATTTAATTTTAAGATCTGTAAGACATTGAAAATAACACAACCACATTTATATGAATACAGTCGACCACCAATACATCAACCTGCACCTGACATCGGCCGAGATGCAATACTGAGTGGACGAGTTATACACAATAAAAGAAAAAATCACGACAATGGAGAACTATACTAGTCAAATAACTACTTCTCGATAAGAAGATTCAATTATAACTTTCTTCTACAGCATTAATTATTGCAGTTGCTAGTCGAAAATAGGCCTTCGAGTCAGTTCTCGGCACCGAATAATCACTAGCTTTTAGCAGAATGCTCGACTTCGTGAATAAATGCCACGCGGAACTTTTCGTAGTATTCACAAGGCAATGCCTCAATCTTGGGTAATTAAACCTTTATATACATAAATGCTACATCAATGCAACACTAATACCATGATAGTAACGATGGAGAAGTAATGTTAGAGGAATGACACAAGTTAGAGCTCTGAGGTGCTAAGGCTTGTAGTGAAGTGAAGCTAACAATGAGGCAATGGCATCCAAACATTATTATACCATTAACACAATTTTAACAATAATAATGAGATTACAACGAAGTAGCCTTTTCTTAGCCGTAAGCGATGCCGCGCCGCGTCTATTCGCGGCCGGCGCGACGGCTGAGGGAGACAGTATGCTGGGGGCGGGGGGAGGAGACTGTATGCTCCGGAGACGGAGACAGTATGCTGAGGTGGTGAGGGTTACAGATTGTCCGTGTTTCGGCCAAGCTAAAATTTCAACATTATAGCGATGAGGACCATTTTTAGTGGATCGATGAGGACTGTTACATGTTACATGAGCGTTGACGGTGCTATGGACAGTGAATGATGAGTCATCTACGGAACACAGTCAGGCGGCTGGTCGTGAATAACGCTATGTCAGCAGCGTGAACTTTGAGCATCGATGGGTACCACCATTGCCTAAGGGTCAAGGGCCAGTATGATAAATGGCTACAAAACTGATAAGCCTATAGCGGCTTAGCAGAATACATACCATAAGTTGGCCGCTTAGCGGCATTGTACACATTGCGTATACATTGTGGGAGGAATGGTACATGCCACCGATGGCGCTGCAAACAGAACGCATTTGGTAACACCCGCCACTACTGACATCGCACCGTAGACAAGCTGAGAAACAAGATACAATAATCTGCTGATTACTGAAGGATGAATGTGAATGTGTGAATGAATGTGATTGAATAAGAATGAATGACTATGACTAAGAATGAGTTGAGGTGATTGAGGATGACTGAGGATGTGGTCGTGAGGAGCGGATTATCCGCGCTACCGATCGGGGGTAAGGTGAGTGATGGCATGTCTCCGCCGTTGATGGTACCCGGCTTATATCGGCTGCGGGAGCCGCGTGCGTATGCAACCGCGGTTAATCTGGATTGTTGATTCTGGACCGCAGTAGGCTGTACCTAACTGCCTGAAACATCAAACGTCATTGACTTCGTTGTTTCGCAAGGAAATAGTAAACTGTTCCACTGCCACGCCTCCTTCGGATAAGCCATCGTTGGTATGCTACTGAAGTCAAACCTGAATAGCTAATGTGCCTGAAACATTGAACATAATTGATCCTTAATACTGAAACATACAGTAGTAGAAAGATACAGATATATATATAGAAAGAGATAGAAACTATTCTGGGAATAGTTGCTATATTAATGAAGCACTGAATAAAGTAGACAGGTATCCTCTTGAAAGTGCTATCGTTCCTTAGGTCCGATGATGAAGTCGAATCTAGAAGGTTACTAGAGAGCTAACTGAAGAGAACGGATACATTTCTTCGTGAACAAATCTTTCGCTCCCACATCTCCATCGTTTGGTTAGCATCGAATTTGAACAAACCTCCCGAGTTGCTACCTAAAGCGTGTTTCTAACACGAGATACTCGCAGAATGCATTCCAAGAAATATTACAAATGCAAAGAAGTGAACACGAATAAACACGATTGGCGTCAGAACGATGACCAACAACACTGTAGGGAATGGCGATCCCACGAGATCTCAGATGCGATCAAATCTCGTCTCATAGCCGTACATCAAAGGCAACCGACTTTTGCTCGTCCACTTTAGCACTCCGACGTCCCACAGAAAGCGTCAGCAACCACCACCAGACCACCACGTTTTAACCACGAATACACACCGCATCGACGGCGAGCGGGAACTTCCACCAGCTCACTGACGCTTTTCATTACCATTTCAGAGAATCACTAGAAAAGCAGAAAACAACGCTATTCAGCAGTTTCCCCTGGCAAGAAGCAGACGAACAAATGGAAAGTGGGAGTCTCACAAATAAAACTGGAACAATAGTTGATAAAGATTAACCAATGCGAGAAACAAACTGGCCATATGTTGTAAGTGAGACCATACTATGAAGCGATGAAGCACAAAGTTGCTTGGGTAAGAGCAACAAGTGAACCACAGAAAATAGTTTAAATTCCAGGAATGTGATTATACAAGACGGTAAACGAAAAGCCTACCACTAGGTGCTTTCCGGAAATGCAGTTACTAAGCATTTCAGCATCGACTGATTGTCCTGCATATGAAATAGAACCCATGACTGGGCAGGACAAGAAAGACGACGGAAAAGTGTTGTGACGCAATCACGGACCCACACTTCACGACCGAAATTGCGCAGGCCTCCGCAGATCGCGCCGCTCATTAAGGGAGTATGGATGAGTGTCGAGGGACATTTCATCCTTAGATCATCCAGTAACGGCCTGCCAGAGTGTCACTTAAGTTGTTTGGAAGGTTCGCGATGAGATTAGAAATGATCCGTGTTTCGGTCTTCGATCTCTACCCATCACGTATGTGTTCTTGAAATTTAGGACAATAAACTGGTATTCAAGGGCTGCGACTGCCTGTGGTGGTGACAACCTGAGGCGGACTTTAGCCAGGCTGACTTCGGGACTCCAAGGAACCACAATGGCTTAACCAGCAAATCTGCGAAAAATGGAGGTTATACTGGGGCCCGCAAAACCAGTGAGGACGAGCCATCCAAGTATAAGTCAATAAGTAAGTAAACTGGTATTTGAGCCATAACGCTCGGTTTGGACGCTATACTGTCCATATGTATTTTGGAGGAGTTAGTTTGCTTGTACCTACTGATAAAAATGAGACCGGCGGCGCTGATGATGTCCACGGCACGGATTCTTTCATAGTGACCGACGACTATCACCTCACTGGTGGCTTTTTCACCTTTACCATTGCTTATACCGAAAAATCTGGCAAAGGATTATTGGGAAGTTGTTCTTCGAACGGGTTCGTGGAGATAGTAATTGAACTTTTGCAATCTCTTCTCTTCAGCCAGACGATAGTTCATTTCTTCCCTGTTTAACCGCCGTATTGTCCCTTAGGAAGACAGCACCTTCTGGAAGAGCTCGGGCATCTCGTCGTGCAAACGATGTGAATCCAGATTTATTCGCATGTTTCTGAAGCNTAAAACTGGAACAATAGTTGATAAAGATTAACCAATGCGAGAAACAAACTGGCCATATGTTGTAAGTGAGACCATACTATGAAGCGATGAAGCACAAAGTTGCTTGGGTAAGAGCAACAAGTGAACCACAGAAAATAGTTTAAATTCCAGGAATGTGATTATACAAGACGGTAAACGAAAAGCCTACCACTAGGTGCTTTCCGGAAATGCAGTTACTAAGCATTTCAGCATCGACTGATTGTCCTGCATATGAAATAGAACCCATGACTGGGCAGGACAAGAAAGACGACGGAAAAGTGTTGTGACGCAATCACGGACCCACACTTCACGACCGAAATTGCGCAGGCCTCCGCAGATCGCGCCGCTCATTAAGGGAGTCTGGATGAGTGTCGAGGGATATTTCATCCTTAGATCATCCAGTAACGGCCTGCCAGAGTGTCACTTAAGTCGTTTGGAAGGTTCGCGATGAGATTAGAAATGATCCGTGTTTCGGTCTTCGATCTCTACCCATCACGTATGTGTTCTTGAAATTTAGGACAATAAACTGGTATTCAAGGGCTGCGATTGCCTGTGGTGGTGACAACCTAAGGCGGACTTTGGCCAGGCTGACTTCGGGGCTCCAAGGAACCACAATGGCTTAACCAGCAAATCTTCGAAAAATGGAGGTTATACTGGGGCCCGCAAAACCAGTGAGGTCAAGCCATCCAAGTATAAGTCAATAAGTAAGTAAACTGGTATTTGAGCCATAACGCTCGGTTTGGACGCTATACTGTCCATATGTATTTTGGAGGAGTTAATTTGCTTGTACCTACTGATAAAAATGAGACCGGCGGCGCTGATGATGTCCACGGCACGGATTCTTTCATAGTGACCGACGACTATCACCTCACTGGTGGCTTTTTCACCTTTACCATTGCTTATACCGAAAAATCTGGCAAAGGATTATTGGGAAGTTGTTCTTCGAACGGGTTCGTGGAGATAGTAATTGAACTTTTGCAATCTCTTCTCTTCAGCCAGACGATAGTTCATTTCTTCCCTGTTTAACCGCCGTATTGTCCCTTAGGAAGACAGCACCTTCTGGAAGAGCTCGGGCATCTCGTCGTGCAAACGATGTGAATCCAGATTTATTCGCATGTTTCTGAAGCTGATGTTATTTTCGGAACAAACTTTTCAAGAAGATTCAGGTGAAGCTGTGTCGGATCGAGTATATGGAGCGGATGTTTCTGCATCTGAAACAAATCAGGGTGAGAAAACGCATTGATCCCAATGCAAAATCGTATGACTGTGCGGCTTAATTCTCTGCAGATGTTGAACATTGAAGAACACTCCAACATGGTCGAAACACTAATACGGTCGCATTGAAGATCGAGAGACTCCGCCACTGCCATTAAGTCCTAGTTCAGTTCAGGAGCTGGAAGCATTGCATCCTAGCGCATTTTAGGCTTTCGCGTCCGCTCGTACTCTCCAATTCCTTTGTTTCAGATTGCTGTAGGTGTGGCCTCCACCTCACAGACTTCGTGGTACTACTTGGACAGGCCGGTCTAGATGAAGGACGTGTTCGGTGTGGGATGCAATCTCGAGCAATTACTCCGCACTGGCGAGTAGATGGCTTCTTCTATTGACCCACTGCACATCAGATTTCGATTCTGGTCTATGTTTTTGAACAAGGGTTCTACTTAGCTTGCAAGTTTTGGAGCACCTTCAGATTAAATTCGCCTTTACAAATACCTTGACCGAAATTGCTGGAGACAAGGTTTTCTTTGTTTGAAACTTGCAATGTTTTGGGAAAAAAGCTTTTTTTTCACCCTTTCCCAATGAGGTCTTTGCCATTCGACTCATTTTGGATCACTTTGGATCACATCACCTCTTTCGCGTCAGTTTACGCACAACTTAATATCCTCTTAAGGGAGGCTGTCACTCTTTAACAATGAAAGGGTAAAGACTCTGTAAAATTCTACTTTTTACGTCTTGTTCATTCATGATGTCAGGAGTCCATGGGTATTCTTGATGTGGATATTCTGAGTGTTCACTAGTGAAGGCACTTCGTGCCGATCCCAGATCGAACATGGTGGGCTCGACGATGGGCACGTTTGTTCTTGCTTGAGACGAGGCAAGATTAATGAGAGTCCACTCTATCGTTAATGCAAACTGCAGAAATGTAATGCGAATTAATTTATCTCTCTATATTTTATAGGCGTATTAATGCATACGTCCGTGGCTGATCTTCCCTCTGTGGATGTCGGTTGCACGTTAATTCGTCCAAAAGCTTATCGGTAGCAAAACCACAAATGTTCATGAATGCTATTCATATTAGTCTTTTTAACACGCGCTACAATAGCAGGTACTATTAAACCTTGGACCTGAGCTGAAGTCTATGGTAGTTAGTTGTGCCTCTCCTTTAGGGACGCAAGAGCTGCTGTCTCGAAGATATGGTGCTGCTGACGAGTGTGTATGGATGGATGCAGATGAGCGTTTGAAAATCTCTACGGTCGACATTTTGTTTAGAAGAGTTAGTTGGATTTCTATTCATTTAACACGCGTATTTTAAGAGCAGATCCGAACAAACCGATGCAACTCGGATGCAAAGGGCAAGCGGATTGGTTGTGAGCGAACTCACTCGCTGAGTTGGTTCGATTCCATTTCGACGGTTCCATTTAAAATAGTAGGTTTTTCACAAACCATTTTTGTCTTTCTTTTGTTTTATGTTCACAATTTAGTCTTATCGCGAGCGGTGGCGATGTTCCATCTCGTTCGCCTTGTGAACGTGAAAGCAGTGATATGTTTTGGTATACCGAGATTCAGATGATGAATAAAGTTGCGACGAACAACGTATAATGTCTAAATGGTAACTGTTGATAGTTTCTTTTGCCTAACAGTTAACTTTGCTTTTATTTCTAAAGGTTAGCGTTATGCAGACGATTGACTAGCCGGATTCGTCTTCTTGCTTTTTTCTGTTTCCGAAAAAACAAGCAAATTCAAAAGAAGTTGGAAACCACGATTAAAAAATTTAGCTTCAAATTTGTCGAGATTGTGGAATGATCTATTCGTTTATCGTGAAGTGTAGTTAGACTAACGATCCTATATCCGATAACTGCTTTACTTTTTGCAGGAGGTAGACCAAAGGGAGCACTTCCTAGTTTCGTTATCCTCTGACTACCTCGGAAAGCGGAATCCGGATACTAAGATCCATTTTAAAAAAAGCAGCTGAGGAAGGAAGGTTAAGAGACGGACTCACTAGTTGTCGTCTGGACATTTTCGATAGGTCTAATTCTATCGTTGCACAGATTTTAATGGTTTTCAGCTGAGAACTTAGTTAGGAGAGTTTTAGCTGAGCAAGAATTCTGCTAACGCGAGAACGAATTGTTGTTTATTGGCGAGCTAGTTAGCCACTGTTTATTTTCGCTTCTATCAGAGCTATATTCCGGCTATAAATATGTACTATTAAGCTTCTCGAGTTTTCTACTACTAAGTGCAGTCATCGTCTGCATAATACTAGATTTTATCTAAATGATCGCATAATTTGGAGTGAAGTGTTGGCGTTGGTCTACAGTACATCCGATCCAGCAGTAATTTTGTTAAGCTTTAAAGAAAAGCTCTGTGTCTTGCTTTTCTGCGTCTTTCAACAGAATGAATGTTTGTTCATGAAATGTACTATGCTGCTGTGTGGATAGTCGTTCTTCTAATGAAGAGGGGTCTTGGTCCGAAAAAGCGGTGGGTATAGAATAGGAGCCCAAAGATACAAAGATAATGAAAGGTCATTATTTTCTAGTTCAAGCTGCACGTCACTGGGCACAACGTTGCTCAATAATTCGGCCTATTATTATCAGTAGGGAAGTCTTCATAAACTCCTTGTTATTTTTTGTGTTTTACTGAATAGCGAGAACTCTACTGGGTTACAAAGTGGGTGAAGCTGATTGCAGAAGACATTGTTGAGTTGTCATTTCGTAAAACTGGCGAAATACAAAATTCGTTAAGTTGTTGACGGTTTGGTTTGCAGCTAGCCTGTTCCACTAGGGCTTCCCGCTGAACGCGAACATTTCGATCTCTTCCCATCTGTTCGGTGCAATCACTGTGAAACCACTGAGTTAATGCATATCTGGCCTCTACAATGACTCGAGGTAGCATACCGATGTATCGAGCCAGTGCTGCTATCCTCTCAAACAGGTCTGGTACCAATTTTCTGACCTCAGAAGGATGGAGGGCGTGGTAGGTCAAGGGCGCGGGAATCGTTCCCATGTGTATTGCAGGGCGCCTCTGACCACTGTTCCACAAGACGCCAATTTTTTAGATTCTATTTATTCCATTTTTTTCTGATATCATCCTTAGCCATCTGCGGTCATTCGTTCGCTTCCTCGCCTTGGGCTCACTGAGCCCTCCATCTATCAGGGTTCAGCAAGTTGGCACCAGATTTCTCTGTGGAAAACAGTGTCGCTGACTTGATCCATTGATAGGCCGTTGCAAATCACTGCGTGGATCAAATATGCATTGAATTATCCCCACAATGGAGGCAGGTAGCACAGTGGCAGTGATATCTGTAGTCACGAACATGGCGCTAATTCAATTCCGCTCTGGGCCAACCAAGCCGCTCATCCCTCTGGGGTTGGGAAATTGGTATTGCACTTGTCTGGGAAAAAATCACTCTCTGTATCCTAATTGGGAATGCTCCAGCTCAGCTATTCTAGGTTTCTAGAAATCATATAAAATAAAAAAAAGATATCCCCACGCTAGATGCTGTAAGTGAGGCCCAAGGCGTGACGCATCCCCTAGGGAGTGATGAACGTCGAAACTTCTCTTTGTTTTTCGCTGGACTTTTTTTATGAACAACTGCTAAGCGATAGTATCGTTTGTGACTGTCGTCTTCACCGGCAGTACTCCGTTGCTCGTGAAACGAACTCCACCGTAAGTAACGCACTGCATGGCGTTATCAGCATCATCTAATGTCGTACAGAGCCACGTATCTCCCTACATTTGTCCATTTCAGGGTGGATTCTGTGAAGAGAAATTCCTGGAAGCAACGAGTGTGTTGAATGCGGTGGGTGACGGAGAGGTAGGAGGTTTTGAGAGAGGTTGTTTCAGGTAGAGCAGGGAGCACGTCTTAATGTTTCTTATGTGTTCAGGTCGCGTGTACAACTTACAATGTAAAACTCTCATCTACCTGTGCAGATTCATTACAAACAAATATTGGACTGATTGGAATTTTGTTATATGTTTTCAGATTCATTGTACATTTACTACTTCATAACACTTCTTAGGCGATTCTAACGCAACATGGATAACTCGAGCCACGTCAATTCGTTCGTTGTGGCCGTGCACTGTATTCTCCCTTGACAGGAAGGAATATGAGGCCAACGCTCTTTCTCTAAAAACTACGCGTTTAACGATGGTTACTTGATACCATTATCGAATTTCCTACATATGTGGCTCCTGCAATGTTTGAAAAGCCATGTTTATGTGTTTCACAATACCAAGACCTCTGTTTTTTGTTCTCATCTGGGTATTCGGAGAAATGCTATTCATCTTTTTATTCAGGCGAAGGAAAGGAATTGGTTCGCAGGATTTCATGGTGGTGCTGTTAATCATCTTATTGGTGACAATGAAAAGCCTTCTGAAGCGGAACAAGTACTCAGTCTTTCCCATCCTGCGTGGCACTTCTTTGGTGTCCTTAACGATGTTCCACTTTCAAGACATTTCCTTTGTTATTGCGTTGTAGTGGTGTTCGTTACTCAGCCTGACTGCCAATTCTCGAACAAATTATGGAGATGCCATTTTGAGGTGGTCTCTTGAAGATTGATTTTGAAATTATTGTTAACTCACTGTGATTGGATCGTTGTAGTTCGTGGTTCTTCCCCTTTACTTAAATGATATCTCTTCCTCACTTTCACTGAATACTGCATTTGCCACTGAAACGTCGTCGGTGGGTTTGAACTTTCCAGCGAATACAGTTTTCTTCACGTGAAACTGAAAATTCGGGGAATTTCATAGGAAATATTTAGAGTTTTTCGCGGTTCCCTATTTCTACTCTTAATATGGCAGATGTACCCAATTCTGGTACTCCATAACTTCTTATCACTTCCGATTACCAGAACAAATGTGCTCAGAGCTTGGCAGATTCATAACATAGTGCTCGCTCCATCGCTTTAGGAGTGCAAATATTTCTCTAAAGTCTCCTTTTAACTTAAAGCACGGTCGAAATTCAGGTTGTGAAAAAGCCGTAAGCTCAGGTTTTAGATTCCTAACAGCCGTAAATATTAGCGGCACCAACACGGCAGCTCATCTGCTTTGGTGTTCGAAATAGAATCCTCGACAAGAAATAAACACAAAGAAGAAAAACTTTGGCAAAAGCTTCTCCAGTGGAAGGCTATTACCGTAGTAGAGAAAAATTTGCCTCTTGTCGGCCAAAATGTGTAGGTTTTAGTGCTGCTTCTGCGTTGACAAAATTCCTCATGAGCTGAGTTCTGTTTGTTCAAAGTAAAGCGGCGTAGTGATTTTCCCGAACGCGTGCACGAATGTCAATGCATTTGCGTTATTACTGGGTCAATCTCTGGAACAGCTTTATTCTGGTGGTCTAGCAAGTGGTTCGCTTCTGGCGAACGCATCCGAATGTCTGCACGAGCTGGTCGGCGGTAACGAAAAAATGACCGTGGCTTCGTAATTTCAGTGGTCGATCGCAAAATGATTAGTGACGATGCTGAACAACTTATGGAACTGAGGTCTTCGTTGCATTCCCAGTCTATAAGTTCAACTTCCGGGCAGCACATTTGGTTTCCTGTTTTTCGACTGTTTTCCTTTCAAATATAATACAGTGCTTATCGGTCGAATTTCCTTCGAGAATCAATGGAATTTTGCATGCTTTTTATTTTGTGTAAAAATACTTTTACTCCTACATTACAGCGAACTCTACCAGGTACCAACGACAAGAATTTTTTACGTCTTGCTTTTTGCAGGGAGCGACTGGTTCTCTCATTTCACGGTTCCATCTCACATACAAGTATGGATTGAACTTACTTCAAGTCGTAGTCATCAATCCATGGTTTATGTTGGAGCGGAATTTCTATCGATTTCAGATCCTTGATGCTACTGCAGAACTCTAGCTAGGTGTGATTATTGTTTCTCAGTTCTCCATTTTATTTATGACCTTTGCTAGTTCTTCATCCAGAGTCTTGCAATTTAATTAAGGTTAGCCACGGCTGGCTTAACTAGAAAGAAGCTAACCCGATTTATGTAAGCGCTATGTATATGGAAGCAAGAATTTAAGCGTTCTCTCTTTGCGATTCGAAAGAAATTGAGTGATATTTTGACACAAACATGTTGAACTGTGTGGATTTCCACCTGCATTGAGAAAGAATTGATATGTGAAACCATAATTCCAATCCTTGGTCCATCGTTAACTCAATTGTAGCTATCAGCCGCAGCACTTGACATATATATTACTGTATCCTGTACTATTGAAGCTTTCCGAGATTTCTTTTTGGAAATGAAGTGAGAGAGTTACAGAGATAGATACCGGCTGTTCAGGAGTGGGTGGGAGTTACATATTGGATATAGAGATACCTTGTCACATGCTTTAGTTTTCAGGATCAAACGAGGCGGAAATACAAAGCTCTCTATGAAGTGCTGCGAAGAACGCGGTCTGTCTTGAAGGTGAAAGAACTTGATCATAGGAAAACACTGGTCCACCGCCTTGAATACGCTGATAAGTGCGATATTATAGCTGGCAGGGTTTGTGAAACTGCAGTGTATCGGTGCTTTTGTATCTTCTGTTAGAATTCGGCGTGTTTAATAAGCTGACACTTCGCGGATGACATTTCCATCTTTTCTGAGAGTATTGATGTCATAGAGGCGATTCGAAATAAGCTTAACGAACCGGTGAAAGGATTTGACTGCGCTTAAATCGCTCGAAGAGTCAGTTCATAAAGCACCTACAGTACAAAGGCGAAAAAATCGAACTGAATGGTTCTTTGATCACAAAAACCACCTGGTACGTATGTTTCAGACGTTCAACGAATATGGCATATATTGCTGCATCGTATGCTATTGAAGTTTTCCAGGATTTTTTTTTGGAAATGAAGTAAGAGAGTTACAAAGATTGATACCGGCTGTTCAGGAGTGGATAGAAAGAAGTACGAAGTCGACAACTGAGCGTAGCGCATGAAGGAGATGTACCAGCGCTCTTCGATGTGGATAAGCAGGTAATCTTTGTATCTCGTCTTGTTCGGGACTGTTTTGGACCTAAGGCTGTTATTATTTTGGGACGGCTCATTGATATAGGAATACCAGGTAGTTAAGAAGATTCTGTCTGAATTAGCTGCTCGCCTTTGTCTGTACCACGCGGGACTTTTTGTGATTAGGAATCACAATGCCGGACACCTAAAATTTTTGTAATTAAACAGTCTATCATGATTATACAACAATTATAGAATAACAATGCAACTGTACCATTAACGCGACAATGACACAAGTAATGAAGAGGCGTAGCCTGATCACTGGTGTTCAGGTTGCTTATGAGAGAAGAGGTTGTCATATAAATTCTACTACATGGAATGGATGTGAGGAAAGGACATGGCGACTTAGACAGCATTACTGTGAACTGAATGAGCTAACCGGGGAGCGGCTTATCTACCTTTTGTGATGGGCGGAGTCGCGCTACTGTAGGCAGAGAAACGGTTTGCCACTAATAGGTTTTGGAAACATTTCTTAAGCATTGCAATCTGATAAGGCGATAGTCAAAGCATAGGACTGTAACGGCAGATATCTTTTATGAGATAACCGACTACGAAAGGTTAGACATAAGGCTGTCGGATCGTCACCGGAAACAGTATTCGAAACGTTTGACATGAGGTTATCGGATCGTCGTGGGAATAAGGTCATCGGAAACAGGATTCGAAATGTTTTACATAGAGAACATTCCAATGTTCGTGAATAATGTTCTCTATACATTATTCTTTCAAATTATGTTCGTCTTTTGATATACGGTTAATACCTGCTGATTGCAAACCTTCGAAAACGATACAGGAAAGAATGTCTATGTCAGAATATATTCTGCAGTACCTGCATCCTGGAAGGACACTCCGGGTATGGCATGTATTTTTTCATACCTTAGTGTACCTAAATAACCCTCCAAAGCACAAGAACGAAAACTGCCTATGATTTGTGAATGGGTTCTACTTTTACAGATAGTGACTGGTACCCGTGATTTTGGTTGGACTCCTCTTCTTGAGTACACGGAAACTGATAAGCCAGAAAGAGACTAGTCCACATGACAAGACTAAGAGGGTATTCGTTTTTTCAGGATTTATTTCTCCCACGTTTTACCAATTACCGTGGTGCCCACTCTCTTTAGGTGTTCACGGATTATAAATGCTACGATTTTTTAAATGGTGATTTCCAACGAGCATGTGAAGGAACACCAGTGTCCTGTTTTTGCAAAATGCGGTGCAGTTTTTCCACTTTTTGAGTAGTTTTCATCGTTTAAAACTTATTTACACGTCGTAAGGTGTTTGTTCAGTAACTTTTAATTGTGTTGACGAAGTCAGTTGTTTTCGTATAATACTTCCGCCGGAACTGGGTTCACAATACTCCAGGAGTGTTGTCCAACGAAAGATTAAGGCAATGTACAGATTTTGTGTCGATTTTTCGATTTTTCGACTATCAAACTTTAAAAGGAGAACCCGTAAACAACAAGTCTAACTTTGTATAATCCCATTGTATTACGTACTAACTGATAGTGCATTTCTCTGCCACTGAAAGCTATGATCTACGATACTAAAGTACTCTGCGTTTCCCAAAGCAGAGCGCATGTCAACTGCTGCTTCTCCTAAGTGTTCAATCCATCGGAGGAAAAGAACATCAAGAAGCTGAAAATAATAAGCAATTTAATATGGTTTAAACTTAATTACAAACAAAGAGACAAACACACATCTAGAATCCACCACTTAAAACAAACATAAATATCCCACCTGCTGAACGAAATTGCCCGCATAGGTTAGGAACACTACAGAGAAGTGTACGTCTCCGATTAAAGTGTCCTTCTATTGGGTAAATTCATCGGATCCACCTGACCATCGGTCACGCTCGGAACGAAACAAAGACAGAAGCTCTGTAGAGCGACCAACCGAAGCGAATAACACCAGAAAGCTACACATGTAGTCAGTTAACCTTTCACTTCGTTCCTTTCGGAGGTTTTCCTCTTAGCTTTCTTTTGGAATTCTAATCGCTTCAGTCCGTTTAGAAGGCGTCCCACCTGGGAAATCGCGGTATTAAGAGGTTAACTCTGAGGTAACAGTACAAACAACACAACACTTGTTCAAGGCTAACATATTGGGAACGATATCTACATTTATGTGGCGAAAGTAAGGCTCGTCACAAGCTGAGGCTAATACACGAGTCATGGCTGAAAAATGCTGCGATACACACAATTTAAGAGTTGTGCTGGCGCCATTCCATAAAAATAGATTTCTCACTTTATGCAACATGCTGGAGTACAGCAGCTAAGCCTCTATTCGTCCTCAGTTAGCAAACTTGTGCCAGATTTTTTGCGATAAGCTCCGTGGGATCAACAACGGCTCAGGGGTTCAGTGCTCGAACTGTGACCAGGAAAGATTTCAGTTGAGCTGTTGCAGGATTCTCGGATTAAGCAGTTCAACCGGCGTCCAGCAACGTTCATGAGGATAAAGTCCTCATGCTGTATGCTTATTGGAACACGCCGTGAATGAAGGATGCAGGACGGGGGATGAGAGAAGTGTTCGAATCCCCACATTATGCGATGGCAGGTTGTAGAAGTAAAGAAGCCTATCGGTTGTTTCTAACCAAATAAAATTTGTTGCCAACAAAGATTCAAGTTAACATCACTTCTAAATATAAACAAATTCCTTGAGATAAAAATGGAAACTATTAATGTTCGTGGCCGATTAGAATCACTCCACGAGTCAAGCGACTGTTCTCGGCTACTTCCTAGTAGTTCGATGGAGATGTATAATTGTATTGATTTCATCGCTTCCTCTATTAATTTTGCAATACATTTTCGCTTTTGTTCTTGTGCCCAAACTTTGTAGGCGTTATGTAATCTTTAAGATTGGCGTTATTTCATCATGAATTTTGTTTGGCCAGAATGAAGGACAGCACACATCTCGTTATTGCTCAGATCATTGCCAGGGTGCGTTATTAAATTTTCTAGCTCTTTGAGATTTTTAACCGTTTTTTGAAACCAAGTATTCAAATGGAAAGGGACGAATTCCTAGGCGTGAATTAGTACCCAGTCGTTTTTGTGGTGGTTTGGTGTGCTGTACAAAATTTCTCGCTCTACTTCTTCTACTCATTCGAAAGTTTTACCACCATAAGTATAGTACTTTCTATTAACCTCGGCATTGATTGAATAATACTTTCTACTTCTGTTCAGCAAACACGAGGTGTTATTTTATTTCTTTATTTACGTACAAGCTGACGTTTCGGCGGATTTCGCCATCCTCAGAGCCTGGGAAGGTCAAGTTGACAGCAAACTATTCGGCCAAACACCTCCATAAGCAAACAAGGAAAACGCTGAACCAAGATTTCAATCACATTGAACACAGCTGTGCACACTCACCGCTTTCTATGAGGCTTCCACCGACAATGTCGGCTATAAAGAAGGAATAGTGTTTCCGCAAATACCATTGATAAACCGGAAAAGGAAGCAGACCAATCAATAGTTCTAGAAAAAGAAGCACCATTCAATAAAACTGGAAAAAAATCTTCTGGAAAAATTAAAATCTTGCACTTCCCGTTGTTATAGAAACTACCAGAATGAAGTTTCCTTCTCCTTCTAAAGGAATGAAATGGTATGTAGATATTTCATTCAATAATAGCGAAGATTTGCGCGAGAAGAAAAAATTTTTGAAAAAGTACCTTCCAGTCTTCTCCTTCCTGATAACAAATACACATCATTTAGAGCTTAGCATTTTAGCCACATGTTCCTCCCACAAAGAGAAGAGAATGGGGCTATCCCATCAACCTAAAATTTCATTTCTTTGAAGGCCATCGAAAGATGGAACACAGAAATGTTTCCGGTAGCCTCTTGAGGAGACTGTTCATAAGCAGATATGAGCATCGATGATTAAGTTGATATGACTGATTGGAAACATGAATATTAGCAAAAAAGTGGTTATTAGAAGTAGTCGAACCACATAAGAGAAAGCTGGGTGATGTGATACATACGGCCCAGCACTTTTGTTAAAACGAGAATCGCTAAATGGCAAGCAGAGTGTCGTTCACTTAAAAATGACCTAAGACACCATACTGATTCCGACAATTAAAATCTCAGAATTTCTAGGTAATTTTAGACAATTTTGGAAAGAATTTTAAACATTTGTGGACATTTCTAGAAACGACGATCTGTGTACTGGAACCCTGGACAGTTTCGTGAAATTCATGTAATGGCAAGCCATTTCCGGTTATAACTTCAGTTGCCTTGGTGTGCACACCACCAAATACTTTCGTTATTTTGGATGTCTTTTTAATATAGAAAAGCATTTTTTACGACACTTATTTGCCACTAATTGGAAGTGAAAAGCATCGAACTAATTATTGGATATGTTGAAAACACAATGTTCCTAATACACCGCATAAGTAATAAATATATGCATTTCGAAAACTATAAGCTTGTGAGTGAATCGGGAAAAAAAAAGACGTACTTAAAGGCAAAACGACTGAAAATTATTAAATGACACCCCATAGGTAAGTGAAGGGGACCAAGTTACTGCCCGAGTTGGACACCACTAAATCCGGGCTCCGATGAACGCCGCTTCTCACGGAAGTGTCGCTTACCACTGCTTCAAAATAATCAATGCTAAACAGATTATAGGTCTTAGTCAACATAATACTATATGTTACAGTGCGAAAACTCGAAGAACCACACCAATGAGGCAACGACTGGCACCAAGCCTTGCCATTGCTTCTATGTCTAAGGTGGAAGCGCCGGTTACTGTTCTCGGGCAGCCACTGTACTGTAGATATATAGATGACCGTTTTGTCCTTTGCTCAACACAAGACGAAATGGACAAATGTTTCAAGTTCTTGAATGCACAGTCAAAATATATCAAGCTAACCCGAGAGAAACCGAAAGAAAAATGGCTTCCATTTTTGAGCGTACAAATTCACCTATCAGAAAATGGTTACATTACAAAGTGGTACCGAAAGCCAAGTAGTAAAAACGTCTTGGTTCATTACCTCTCCTCTCACCCCTCTCACACGAAAAGGGCGCTTATAAGAAACATGTTTCGAACAGCAACCAACGTGTGCACGGGAAGAGAGCAGAGAGAGGAGTCCCGGAACTTGGCTCGGCAAATAGCCATTTCTAATGGCTACGAAACTGTAGCTCGGGATAGGTGTCGGATAAATCATAGGCCCCCAAACGACAACTCCAGCGATAAAAAGATTCCGTTTATCCTACCCTTCATTTTAAATGAAGTAAGTGCAGCCATAAAACGCTGCTTAAGAAGGGCGGGTTTAAAGAATTCAGTAAACGTAGTTGAAATGCCACAGATCAATCTTAGGCGTCAGTTAGTTCGTAACCGCCTATATGACCGTCTATGTGCAACTCAAAATTGCATAATTTGCCTCAGTGGTAGAGACGGTGATTGCATGAGCTCGGGTATAGTTTATCTGATCTCCTGTAAGACGTGCGGTGACGAATACATTGGCGAAACGGGCAGACCCCTCTGTGTCCTCATAAAAGAACACCTAGCAGGCAAACACAGACCAAATACCCCACTAGGCACGCATAGGACCCAGAGACATAACGGGGAGGACTTCGAAGTATGTGTCACGATCCTCGCACGCGAATCAAGAACACAGGCGCGAAAAGCTCTCGAGGAATTCTGGATTAATTCCAGAAATCCGAAAATGAAGCGCAGGGAAAAATGTCCTCATTATCACGCGCGATATAGGGCAGTATATAAGACTGCTATTCTGATGAGAGGGGCACATTATGCTTCCATGTGATTTCTGTGTGGTTGGCCTCTACGTGACATACTTAGTGGAAACCTCATAGAAAGCGGTGAGTGTGCAAAGTTGTTTTCAATGTGATTGAAATCTTGGTTTAGAGTTTCTTTGTTTGGTTATGGAGTTGTTTGACCGAATAGACTGCCGTCAATTTGACCTTTCCAGGCTCTGAGGAAAGCGAAATTCGCCGAAACGTCAGCTTATTCGTGAATAAAGAATAAAATAACACCTCGCGTTTGCTCGACAAGAGCACGAAGAATTACTTGATCAATGCCGA